AGTGTGATTTAACTTTTTCTTTTTTTTTTTTTTTCATTACAGAATGAAATATCAACAAGAATTTATTTTCTAGAATGAGAATAAAATAATATTTCTCACAAAATACATTTTATCTATTTTTATATTAATGAAAATTTTCTGTATATTTAATATACAGAAATAATATAATGTTTTCAGCAATCTTTTACTATTAGATATGAAATAGTAGTCCACATTACCAAATAAATAATATAGTAATTTTAATGTATGCTTTAATATAAATAAGCATTCACTATAGAATAAATTAAAATACTATTTGAAAAATGTTAAAATGCTTTTCTGTTATAATTACAGATTCACACACACTTTTTTGATTTTTTATTCAATCAACGCAAAATTTTCTGAGTGCATTTCAGCCTGTTCAAAAGTCCTCCTCAGCTGGGTAACTTGTATATATATTCAACATTATGGTGTTTTATAGATGTTTATTTATAACACCATAATGTTGAATGTATACATAAGTTACCCGTCTGAGGAGGGCTTTTGCACAGGCTGAAATGCACTCAGAAAATTTTGCGTTGATTGAATAAAAAATCAAAAAAGTGTGTGTGAATCTGTAATTATAGCAGAAAAGCCAATGACGTTTGTAATTATTTAGTGCAAATTAATTGATAATACAGATCAGAAGCTTATATTGAATCATACTATTGTTCATTATTTTCAACACACTAAAATCATTTATTTTGTTACATGAAAGAAAAGAGTTTAATGTCTGTTCTAATTAATTTATCATATATACGTCACTAATTAGCCAAAATTCATTATCACAGAAAAACTGAAAATGTAACAAAAAAGTTATGACAAAAAAAATCTATTAAAAAAACTTATTCATTTTTTCTAAACAGCAAATCAAAGTTCACATATAAGGATGTTAAAATAATACATAAATAAAACTAGAGAGCAATTTTATATAAAGTAACTTTTAAGTATTACAATTTTTATTTTATAATTTCTAAACTAAACATAAAGGCTATTATTTTAGAAGCATAATCAATACAGATTTAAAACAATACAAATATTTTTGAAATATGTTTAGTTTCTATTCTCAAATAATTGACATTTCAAATGTTCTTAAAAAGCAAAAAAAACCACATACACAATTATAGTAATTAAATCAAACTAAACATGTTATATTATTATTACACATTAATGTACTGTACATTACAAATATCTAAAACAGAAAGAACAAAATCTCCAATAATATATGGAAAATTTTGAATCCAAACTCAAATTGTAAAAACTTTCAAGCCTTTCTGGTTCATCTTCAGATTTTTTAATTACATTAAATATTAGCATGCTGAGTTTAAATACTTAAAAGAAAACTATACTTTCTTGTAGTGAACCTTTTAATAGTATATTAATCAATTTTCATTTATCTAGCCTAACCTAACCTTTCATCAGATATCTGGGAAGAATAGCAGTAAACACTTTCTTATAACTCATTTTACATTTTCCCAACTATAAAAATAATCTCATTCCAATCTAACTTAGGACAACATTCAAGGAAAGAACTTACAAAAAAGAAAATTCCTTTTTTGTAGATTTTATAGTAACAAGCAGAAAAAACACTAAAAAAGCACACTTTTTTACATTTTGTCGTTCCTACAGAATAAGAAGGACAAAGTTATTTATTAAAGTTCACCTCTACTTGGAAGCAATCCTCTGGTAGCTTGTGCTTCCAAACAGAGGTGAACTCTACTTTACTGCTAGTTTTCCAAGAAAATTTAGAATTATTAAAATTAATAGTCAGAAATATTTTAAAATTTATTAAATTATGTATACAGGAGTCTGCAGACTTCAATAGATGATTATATATTTATTGTGTAATAAAAGTTACAATAAACACTGCTTTAGAAGTTAAATCTATTTAATTACAAGTTTTAGAAAAAATCTTTTTTTTTTTATATTACAAGTTGAATAATCATCTTTTTAACTTTTTCCAAGAGAAACAAAGTTTAACATGAAAATAATCATTTGTTAATATTTTCATTTGATATACTTATAATAAATTAATAATTTGTTTTGATGTAAATACAAATATTTCATGTATTTATTATTATATAAAATGCAATATATTGAACTAAAAGATTACTATATATTAAATAACCAAATAAATTTTCATTTTCTAATAATTACAGAAAAATAAAGTTAAATAATATAATTAATAATGTAATTGTAACTTTGATATTTTACAGAAAAGTTTATTACATATCCTTTTTAGAACAGATTGTATTCATATTGTGATTTAATTCCAACTCTCTGGAACAGATATTTTCATACTGCATTTTTCAAATAAACTGCTGTTTTGTCAAATAAAGACATTATATATATACTAAATATCATAATTATCCTTTAATCATTACATTTTGGATTCTGAAATAAAAAAATAACCAGTTGCATTTTCTTATTACTAACTGTACTACGAGGTCTGTTCAAAAAATATGCGAACTGTTTGAATTGCGCGGCTCCAGTTGGTTCCAGGGGAATCAGCTTGGTGTTGCCAGGTTTGTACAGATCATCTGGTAATAAAGCCGTTTCCCAATAACAGATATCTTTATTTGTTGAATAGTTATGTGGTTTTTAGTGAAGTGCAAATTTTTTGTTTGTCGGATTTCAGAATGAATGGCCTGATGGAGCAACGACTTGCTGTTAAAGAGGTGATGAATCATGGGTTTATGGTTATGACATTGAATTGAAGGTCTAATCGTCCCAGTGGGTGGGTGAAACGTCCCCCAGATTCAAAAAAGCTCGCAAAGTTCAATCCAATGTCAAGGTGATGCTGACAGTTTTCTTTGATGCTAAGGGTGTTGTTCACCACAATTACCTCTCCCAAGGCTCCACAGTGAACCAGACTTACTACATTTAAGTTTTGAAACGTCTGAGGGATGCCATTCGTTGCAAAAGGCCAGAAATGTGAAGGAGTGGTGGCTGGTTTCTCCATCACAACAATGCTCCAGCCCATTTGGCTCTCATGACTTGTGAGTTTTTGGCCAAACACTCTACCACTGTTCTTCCCTATCCCCTACACACCTGACCTTGCTCCTTGTGACTTTTTCTTGTTCCCCAAACTCAAAATACCCTTGAAAGAAAGAAGATTTGAGACAATTCCCAAGATTATGGCAAATGCAACAAAGGTGCTGAAGGACATTACAAAAGTGTGCCAGGACTGTTTCAACAAGTGGAAACACCATTGGGATAAGTGTGTGCATTGGGAAGGAGAGTACTTTGAAGGAGACCCAGACATGTAACGTCTACATAAAGTACATTTTGTTTTATGATGTCAGTCCGCGTATTTTTTGAACAGACCTCGTATAATACATAAAAATGTATAGAGACATCTTAAAACGTTCAGTGGATTAAATCAGAAAATTATTGAAATTAATAATATCAAATTATGTAAAATATAATTTCCAAAATATTTTCTGCAATATTCTTAATTTGCATGATAGCTATTGAAAAGTTGTTATTACAGAATTTTTTAAACTTAATATTAGATTCATTTATTAATTTGACAATTGTCATAGCTAGACAATAGTCATGTCCACTACTTATTTATTTAAAAGAAACTTATAAAATTACAAAAAATTTCAAAAAAAAAAAACATTAATTTTCTGCAAAAATGCAGAAAATTAATGTTTATTTTCTGCATTAGTTTCACTAAATTTTACATCCATTACATTAATTTTTAATACTATAACATTACTTTAAGTAATTAAAAATTATTTATATATTATACAATTATATACATGATATAGACAAAAACATTGCATTAGGCTTTATGTTGCTTATGTGATGTATTAGCTAAATACAAGAGTATAGGTTATTGGTAGCGGGCCATATAATGATATAATCACATGCATCCTGATCCTTTTTCTCATGGAGCCAAATCCCATCTTTTGCTCCTATGAAAGTTGGCAACACACTTTAAATTACAGCTTTATAGCTTTCATAGAAGTCAAGATAGAATTTGGATCAATGAATAGGGGGTTTAGGAGAACATTTAACTTGGTAGTGGGCTATTTGATGGCATTCTACTAATTCTGTATACTCTTGTACACTTGTATTTAGCTAATAACAGATGCAATGTTTTTATCTACTTCCTGTATATTGCACTTAATATTGTTTTACCTATATAGCACTATTATTAGAATTTCATTATATATTTTAAATAATAATAATATACTCTAACAACAATCATTATAATTAATATATCCTATATGCCTAGTGCTACACCAAACCAGGATCAAGGCATACCTACAGAAAAGCTATTATTTAGTATGTATCTATGTCATGAGCTGGAACTTTAATTTTGAAGGTGTGACTTAATATCTGTTTCCAGTAGAAACAGTTTTATTAATTAAACTGTTTCTAATATGTGTGTTAGTATAGAAGCTTTCTGTGAAGTGATGTTTGTTGTATGATGCCTGTATGAGAAAGGACTATTGGAATAATAAATACATTATCCATTCTCACAGATATATTATAGACATAATTGTACCAAACATCAACAACATAACGCATGTGATGTCTGGTCTGTTATGATGTATTCTTTTGTCAGTAATTAAAGCTGTCATAGTATATCATCATTGTGAAATTTCTTTTATTTCTTAAGTGTTTTTCAATATAAGTTTTTGTTTCTTTTCAAAATTTCTGTATATTACAAATTTTTATGTATTTCTGTCTATTGACATACGTTGAAAATCCTGTAACAAAATATATCAAATTAAAAAATATAACTTTTTATGATATTGAACAATATTCTAAAATTATTATTTTACTTAGTAATATGTAAGTTTAATACATTAAAAACAATTGAAAGTGATTCTTAGTGTTATTCATTTGTTAATAAAATCTTTTTTGTAATTATTGCTCTCTACATAATTGCAATTAAAATGAATTTAAAAAAAAATTAATTAATTTTAAAATATTATATAATTCAAAAAATAATTACATAAATTTACCTGAATTCACAGTATATCTTGTTTTTGCACTTGTACAGTAAGCTTCAATAACTTGAAGAATCTTCATATCTCCTTCATAGGCTTTATCTTCAAAAACTAAACAATTTAAATGATAATATTACAAATTAATTCAACATTGTACAGTAACAATATTTATAAACTATGGAATCCAATCAACTTTAATTTAGGAATTAGCAAGAATTAAATTATAACTTTAATACACTTCCATATTCATAAATGTGAAATTTTGTACTTTATGTTTTTGTCTACAAAATTCATTCCAAAAACTTAGATCAATGTAAAAATAGTATCAATGTAACATAAGCAATCAGCTTATTAGACTGACAAACAAATAGCAAGACAAATGTTAATTACAGAAAAATTATCAGTATAGATGGCATACAAGTAACATTTGTCTTGCTATTTGTTTATCTAATAAGCTGATTGCTCATGTTACACTATCTTTTTTACATTGATGTATCTGTTCAGTAAATATTTTACATAGACAAAAAGAAAAAAAAATGATTATTTTTATTAATTTTTCAATTTATAGTTGTTGTTCAAGAATTTAATAAGTGCAAAAACACTGTTGCTGTTTACATCATAAAAATACATACTCATTTTAAAACAGAATTTAGATGAGAAGCAGATTCTATAAATTATTTTTTTTTGTTACTGGTTATATTATTTTTTACTAATTTTACAATGATTAATAGAAATGAGAGAAAATGCATATTATCATTTTTTAAAATTATTAGAAGTGAAATATTTTTTTCCGAAATGTTGGTAAAACATATTCTTTCTAATAGAAACTATTGTTGCAAGTAAAAACATTGTCATAATTTGGAATAGCTTACTTTCTTTTTCACATCTAGAAAATTCAAAAGTATTTAAAACTCTTGGACTAGTTACAGGAGTTATTATTCTGTAGAATAAGTTAACCTTAACCTTAAGAATAAGCTGTGTTTGTTGCATAAATACAAATTAACTATTATTAGCCAGTTAGCAGAATTTTTACTGCACTTGTTCTTGATAATACAAAAATTCTGTACAACTGTAAACAAGCTAAAGGAGAAAAATAGTTAAATGAAAACATGATGAATTGGAGTGTTGAAGAAAAAATATACAAAGAGTATCTAGAAAGTAAGTATTACAAATTTTGGAAAATTATTTAAACCAACAATACAAACATAACAGATATTTCTGTATGTAATCACCATAATAATTTAAATATTTGTCATATTTTGAAATGAACATGTACACGTACACTGTGCCACAGTTGAAGAATTCTTCCAGAAAGGATGTAAACCATTGCTGAACAACTTTCACCTTGTTAGTACTGTTTGATTCCTGACTGGACAAAAATCTCTTCATGTGATTTTGCACATGAAAAGATTTTTGTTCAGGCTTAAGATGGATGTTCAAAAACTAGTTATTTGTACTTATCTAGTAATGCATACTGTCAAACTCAAAACAACAATGGCTTGCAGCATTAATACCATTTCATCAGTATCATCTGCAATCAATGAAGAGTATCCACTGTGATCTTCTTTGTGCACATTAGCTCTGCTTCTAGTAAAAAGAAATATATATATATATACAGTAGAGCATCAATTTTCCGAATCAATTGGGGACTGGGGTTGTTCGTATAACTGATATTTCGGATAACCGATTTATATACGAAAAAATAGTTTAACGTGTCCGATGTTGAAATTTTTATCCGTTGCGTGTCGCTTCGCATTGAATTTTCGTCGATGTTAAGCCTAACAAAGACTATTGTATCGTTAAAAATTATTTTTTTATTTTGTACAAACAAAATAAATTTATTGAAAAATATAAAAACAATAAAAAATTATACTTCAGATGTTAATTTAGTATCAAAAACGTAAAATATTTGAGTAGCCCAAGACATAGCCAAAGATTGAAGCACCACAGCACTGGCGAAAATTTAAATTTGCTGACTGGAATTCTTTCGGATGATTGACTTTCGGAAAATCGACGCTCTACTGTATATATATACATATATATCTGGACCATTTCTTCACATTTTGAACATACAAAACTTTATCGTAAAGGAGAAATGAAATTATTAAAGTTAGTGAATTTATAGCCTGAGTATTTAAGACAATGATTTGGCTACACATTCCAAAGCAAAATATCTATACTTTAATCAATCTAAAGCAGCAGTTGCCAACCTTTCTAACCTCACAGACACTAAACTCACAATTTTGAATCGTGTTGACCACTGTTGTAAATTTTTTTTATGATCATTTTTCTTTAGATGTTTGTATCATTTAAAAGTTCCATTTTACTTTAAACAAGTGAATTTCATATTAATAATTATAATGAATTAGTGTAAAGTTTGTTGCTGCTAGTTTGAAATAAGTTTATGGATTCTTGGCTCTTTTCCACAAAGAAGGACAATGGCACTCACATTATTTATTGACAATAGTCAATTCATGTTTGGAGGTTTTTTATTCAAATCTAAAATTAATGAGTGAGAAAAAGCAACAAAGCATTTTGCATTTCTTTCGTAATACTTCACATAACCTTAAGTTCATCAATGTCCAAATGTCTAAAATTTTCTTACGGACCACCAGTTGGCAATCACTGATCTAAAGTTTAACCTTCTAGTAATGCTAACAATCCTCTCCTCAATTATACCACATCACAACCATCCTTTTATATCAGTGGATTTACATGTTCCCTGCTGGCAACAACTCTAGCAGAAAACCATTTTATTTGTTAATTGCATACTTAATACATGATTATTAGGACTATTCTTTTTGTTTGTCCCAGTTATTATTTTCTCTTCCTGCCAGAAGTTTACATCAAGAGAATAATGATGGTATCTAGCAAGACAGCTAATATATGGTAAGCTTAGTTTAGATTTCTTTTTATTATATTTTGAGTTGGAAGTGTGAAGTAGTTGCCCTGATCTGAGCAAAAAGAAATCAGGTTCCCCCTTACAATGTCAGGAATTCTTTATGGATGGCTGTCCCAGATATGTTGATTCCCTTCTCTCACCAACCAGCCATTCCTACAATATATATGATTAAAAAAGATCATTCTAGTGCCTTCAGGGCAAGAAAGTGTCAAAAAGTAAAGTTTTTGTGGAAAAAAGAATTTGAAATTTTAATCTTATATATTTTCCTGTTTACAGCATCATTTAAATAGATTTACAGATCCCATTTTAATAAAATTTTTCTGAATTAAATCCTATTATAGTTTTTAAGTTGTTTTTGTGAAAAATTTTTAAAGTTAATTATTAGCATGTTGTATTTAATTCTTCTTTCTCCAAAAGTCATTATTAAAGAATGCACATTTACATGTAATCATTCGTGTCAGGTTAATTAAAAAGTTTTCTCCCAAAACTTTAAATATAGAAATTTATCTTTGAGTTATTTAAACCCAAAATTGAATAAATTATTTCAGGTAATTGTTTAATTTGATCATTAAAATATTAAATGATGATAAAATGTTTTTACCTTTTTCTTTTCTTCTGTTACTTCCTCTTCTAAGTAAAACTTCGTTTTTAGTTACCAAAGCTGGAGAAGGTCTAACAGGAGGATGAGGTCGAAGACTCCACATTGTCCAAACTTTATTTGGAGAATGAAAAGTTGTTCTATTATTTGACTGGAAAGCATTTTTGTCATTGGATAATGTAGTCTGTAATATAAATATATCATCAATAATTTGCACAAAAAATAGTAAATTTTCTAATACAATATAAATACAGATAATTACATAGCAAAAACTGTTTTAAAAATTAAAATTAGTAATTATTTAATATTAGAGATGATTAACCAATTTTGATACACTGATATATCTGTACTGGTAATTTTACAAATGGATTCCAATATGCTGATATATCATTATCAGTTACACCTGACTAAAGAAATATAATAAATTCTGTTAATAGTAAATCACTTTCCTCTAATAAACTTCTACATTTAATGTAGGAATTACTGTTTTCTATCTGTAAAGAATTATAAAAGATAAAATACTACTTTAGTGGAAAACTTAAAATCAGTATACAAAAGTATTTTCAAGCCTCCTGACTCATCATCAAGAGATGCTAGTCATTAAACAGTACACCAAAAAGTCAAAACTAGAATTTTAAAAATCTTGCAACTCAATCATTCCAAATGCATGAGCAGAGCAATTTAGAATGATTCTGAGTTTTAAGATTTATAGAGCTCTAATTAGTCATCAGAATAACTTATCAGGAAACGCGTCTGCCATTCAATGATCCACTCCGTGAAGAAAACAAGCTTAAGCAATAGCGTCTTCGAATGGTGCACACTCTAAGTATTCCTACAATTTTTTGTTTATAGTATAGTTTATATGGATTATTCCCAAAAAATTATATGTGATTTGGAAATGTTCAAGTCAAATTAGTCTAGAATCAATTAATTTTATGGAAGAAAACCTTTTAAACAACCTTAGCCCCTAAACTGCACAAGTGCCGGGCTGTGATTGGCTCATGTATTTAAGTGACTTGTACAACACAGAATTCATATAACACGGAACATATCTACCATGTTATAGGGGAGTTTACTGTATTATTTAATCACTATGCATAATGAGCCAATAGGCTCAAATAAATGGACCTTCCATAAATTATATATATATTTTTTTTCTTCTCAATATTATCTAAAAATTGTCTAACCACAAATTTATAACATTAGTGTTTAGAAATAAATTAATATTTAACAGCTATAAAATAATGTGCTTACATGGGATGTTGATTGAGAAGATCCAGATTGGGTGTTAGATGAATAACTTGATGCAGTTCCATGATTAGGTGATGCATAAACATCTTGTCCTCCTTTAGGAGATATTTTAACACCAGGAAACTGGCTTGTTCTAATTTGTTGATGTAAGAGATTATACCATAAGACAGCACTTTCTTGATTTTGACAAATGACAACAATACGCTGAATCATACTTCCTGAGACATAAAATTTAATTTATAATGATTATTATTTTAATTTGCTATATTTAATGACAATTTTTATTAGATATTCTAATTTATGAATTAATAATAATTGTAGAAGAAATAGTACAGAGTTAAAAAAATATTTTAAGTTTGCTGAGGGTTCTATTAGGACAACTTAAAATCTCATTCCCTAAGTTACATTTATTTTTTGAATACATAAATAATAATCAGTCTATCAGCCTGAATTATTATTACTATTATTATTATTATTGTTATTAAACCAGTGGTGTACCATGGGTGTCAGCCGCCCGGGGTGGAGGAAAGTTTCAGCCCCCCTTATTCAGGTATTTCAATTTAAAAGACCAAAATTCAGTTTTGTCACAGAACAAGCAATGAAAAATTCGGTGGTAGTGCAGCGACCTGCTTAAAATAGTTTTATTGGATATTAGTGGTGTATATGAACGTACAAGAAAAAAAAAAAAAAAAAAAAAGAAGGGTCAACAGGTTTCGCAGGAATTCCTTGGATGAAAAAGTTACTAGTTAACCCAGCAAGCTGATTCCCAGACTGTCTGGACGATAGCACTATTGTAGGCGTGATGCAAGTATAGATTAGGACATTTCAAATTTTTACAAGATATTGTTATTATTTATTGTGAAATTTTGCCGCCCCTTATAAGGTAATTTTGCTGCCCCCTAAAAAGTGCCGCCCGGGGCGGCCCACCCCTGCGGTACGCCACTGTATTAAACAGTTGAATTATGCAAAATACGTTATATATTTAGGTCTCTTTCTTTTAAAAGTGTCCTGGCTAAAGCTTTAATATTACTTAATTTTCAAAAATAAAACATTTTTATCAAATGAAAAAAATGACAAAAAAATTTGAACAAAATTACAATTATAAATTATTTCTTTAAAATGCTTCAATAAATATTTTTATTCTATTTTCAAACTAGACATTTATATGAATTCTGTATTTTAATATAACATAGTTAGCATTGTGAATAAAAGATTTTAAATTATGACTCCTACAACAGTATAATTATAAATCAACAACTATCAGCTTATAATTTTTTTAATTATTAACATATCATTTTTACAGTATTTCCAATTACATGTAAATTATTTAATCATTCTTTATAAATAATATTAATTTTACCATTATTTAAATCTAGTATTAAGATTAAGTAATTTTTTCATTTAGACAAAATTCCATATTATTGACCACTGACCAAAAATACTGTTTACTATACTTATAAATTACCAAACGATCGCCTAAATATCGGGCTATAATTAAATGATTAGAATAAAGTAATTTGACATTAGAGGTAGGCACTATTCGGGCTTTGAGTTGTTGTTATTTACTATACTTACTACAAAAACAGGCTTCCCAGCAATTTTAGAGAGTGAAAAAGTAGGAAAGAGTCTGAATTAAAAAATACAGTTATCTTTCTTTAAAAGATTGTATGACATGTTTAATAACAAAGAGTCTTTTTACATGCAGGAAAATAAAAAATTTATTCCAAGTTGTTATTGTGACCTACTATTCAAATATCTTGAGTAACAAACATGAGAAAGACTACCAAATTTCAGCAGATAACCTGAAACTGGATGAAACAATTGCTGGATTTTACCCTTCATTTGATATAATTAGAATGAACATATTCTGAAAAAACTAAATACTATTAAATTACTTGAAGTAAATGGTTAAAGATATAAAAAAATTTATTCTTATTTACTTTCTTTGCAGTATTATGGTATTTTCACCGAATGATCGGCATGCTGCATATAAAGGGTGAGACCAGCATGCCAATTAAACTGTAACTAAAATATTAACAAAACTAGTTATTTATTAAACATTAAAAGAAAACATTCTTCCAAATACAATAAAATAATAACATTGTAATTTGACTGCCTTAAAATCAGGAAGAGATTTTTGTTTACAAGACAAAACAATTAAAGACTTAGTGACAGTAGTAGTAGTTAGTCAATGTGGGCTACTCTGACCATCTACCCTGACCTTAAAAATAACATCTTCCTATCAAATTTCAAATAAAGCTGATGTTAATCTGTGTGAGCTGAGATAATTTATGCCAGTTTCTTAAATTTAATATGTTCATTTTTGAGTTTTTGAATCAAATAACAATAAAATACACATAAAATTCTCTTAGAATTCAGAAAGTGCTTTTTTTATGTTGTTAAAAAGAAAACAAAATGAAGAAATTAAATATGTAATTGTAATTTTTGATGTAATGCTGACAGTTTCACAGTTCTAGAATAAAAACTGGTTTGTTTTTTTAACATGCCCTCTAGAGAGGGATCCATAACCTTACCATGCATGCCAGCATGTTGGTTTTTACCATACAGAAATATCTGATCATGGTCTCCCAGGATAGACCAGCATGCCAGTCATTACACAAAAATATGAAACAAAAATAATCAAGCATGGTTGTTTTACTTCTTTCTACTTGTTTTTATCACATATATTCTGCAATTATTGTTAGCTTTCTTCAATTGAGTTTATACTGTTTCTAACATTCCTTAAACAATTTTCTCTCCTATGTGATGGGAACTTTATGGCACTGAGAATCATAATACTTCAATCCATCTTTAGTAAATTGGATTGCAATGATTGATGCTTATGATTCTTGAGTCTATCAGGAAATTGAATTACCTTTCAAAAACCTCTAAGTTACATCTGCATTGCCACAGAACAGAACAAGAAGCCCTTTGATCAAACACTAATTCTGGATACTTATCATGACCAAGAGATGACTTTATTGAAAACATTTGCATAATAATGATCTATTCTTGGTCCTGTGGATACACAATCATCATCTGTTACTGTAAACCATTTCTAATCAATATCTTCACACTGAAAAACTCTCTATTTGTCAGTACTAGAAGAAGAGACTGCTGAAATCAGAGGCATGAAATGTGCAAACATTGTACATATTGTGAGACTCAGCACTACATAATCTGTTTACTTACTTAACATAACTTCCTAACAATACCCTTTTGTCAGATAACTGTCAACTTTCACATCTGGGAGCTAATCATTTGGTGAGTTCTCAGCAGCAAAAGTGACGCTTTCTCATAACCTTCTGACCTATTGTCTTAAGTTCATTGGTTGAAGATAACAAGAAACTGAAAAATTAAGGCAGTCATTGTCCATTCTCCGAGGAATAATATCATCCCGAAATTCCTCTAACAATTAACTGTGTCAATGCCCATCAGGATATCACCTACTCACCTTGGATATTGCAGAACATTGTGCCATAAAGACAACTTCTTGGATAAACTTTCTCAATGATCAAAAAGAAACAATCACCACTTTAACGACATCCAATTCAACCCTCGTGGGCATTCTCTACTCCAGGTATTTATCAACTCGCGAACCACCGTAAACTCTCTCTCTCAAAAACCACGGATTGCTAATTTAACTCCATCTATTATACTCACTATCAACAAATTGTATGTCATGTGTTGCCTATCATTTCCAATTAAACAATTGTTATGTTAACCTAGTCTCTGCATGAGTCACTTCCGGCGTGCTGTCTCTCATTCCATCTCGCCCGATCACCCACACATGCAACTGCTTGCGTGACCTACCTAACCCTCTCGACCTGACGGAGGTTACACTGGTGTCAGCCTTGACAGAGATCAAAGAGGTGCCGACCTCTGGTCACATATTTACTATTTGGGAAAGATGATAATACGTTGTTACTTATTAAATTGTCTCATGGAAGATAGTGCAACTTTTCATGCTTGTGTTCTTTAGTATTTTCTTTGTCTCACAACCAACTCCATTTCTGTTTTACTGAATTCTCAAAATCTGAAATTGTTAATTTGAGGGACTATAAGTCAGATCAATGTTGTAAGACTCAGTTTGAGAAATCTTTCTGTCAGCAGATTTAGTAGTGTTTCAGATTCTGTATAATCAAAGTGAGTCAATGTTCAATGAGAGACTGATAATGACCAAATAGTTTGATCACATTTAGAAGAAAATATATTTGTCTGTACTTGACAAGCCCTATTTCAGACATCTCCTAACATTAGAATATATGGCATCATCATATATCTTTAATAAGACTGAGAGAAAACACTTTTGAGCTGGCCACTAATTTAGCAGTCTCACTATTGCAGGACTTAACATTCTGCATGTATGAGAAACTTTAAATGAGATAATCCAAGTTCTTCCAACACATTTGTGAAGTCTTCAATCTTAACAGCTGACAGTTTAAAATAAATCATGAAAATCAATTATGAGATCTACTGTGTCTTTCCCATATCTATCTATAGTTTTCTGAAATGTATTGTGTACAATATTCAGGGGTATGTTTCCAAATTTGCAAGTCCAGGTAATTGCACTTCTTTATTCAATAATGATTGTGGAGACAGCAAGATTTGACAGTTGGGCCATCACTTCCTAACATGATCAAATTTTTCAATGTAAGTTTATCATCATCAATGAATTTGAAAATATTAAAAAAAAATATCCTATTCTGTAGCATGTCCCCACATGTACAGTACAGGTACACACTGAGATTACCACTATTGTATCATGACATCAAATGTTTCTTTATCTATTTGATATTTCATTATACATGAGCATAAAGAGAGTATCAGGTTCCTTTACATCATTCCCTAGTAATTCATAAAAGTAAAGCACAGTAGCTTCTAATATAAAAATGACACTGATAAATTTCTTTCACAAGTAAACTAAGTTTTAATAAACAATGTTTAATAACATAAATTAAAGCATAAGGAAATTAGGATAATGATTCTAACCTTAAGATGCAAAGGTTTTTCCCATTTTCCAAAGACACTTAAACTTCTTTTCTTATCTGAAGCCATTGAAAGTTCTTCATAATTAATTCAAGATTTAAAATAGGCATATAACCCATCCTACAAACCTTTTGTTAACATATAATCTGCAGATTTTATGCACAAAAATATGATAAAAATCTGATTTAATCTAATTTTTTATAATTAATTTATTTACAGGTGATAAATAACCCACAAAACTTTCTGTCTATTGCTATTATCTATATATGAGACTAAGGTTTAAATAGGTCCAAAAGAATAAATTTAATACTATACTGCAATAATGTAATAAAATCTGAATAACAGAATGGACTTAAGACCAAATTCACCAAATGAGGATTAAGGTTGGAGTTGAAAGGTAACCAATAAGCATTCATGTACATAAAGTACCTTTGATTAACTTTTAACTCCAACCCTAATTCTTATTTGGTAAATATGGCCATAAGTCAGAATTTCATTTCATTGGGCTGAATAATAGACTGTAATGAAATTAATAAATAATCACAAATAAATTTCAAATGACATTGATAGATATGTCAGTCAAATACTTTGATTATCAAGATAATTCTTTAATTTGAGCACCAATATATTTATGAGGAATACGCAAAATTAAAAGTAATCAACTCAGTTTCACAAATTATAATTTGTGAAACTGAGTTGCAGTATCCTTAAAGCCAGTTTAATAAGTCCTGTTAATAGCTATGTACTAGTGGATGAAATAAGATTACAATAAATTAAGGACATTGAGGCATATTAATTTAAAATTAAAAGTAATTTGTATTGAAAGTAGCATAAAATCTGCTAATTAAAAAATAAAATNCTTTTGAATTATTATCCAATTAATTGGTCAGCACTATTAACATGGACAAAAAATAATCATAATATAAAATAAAGATTAAAAATAATTTAATGTGCTGTGTTAAAATAAAGAATTAAGGGACTCTTACCAGTTATTTCAAAGGCATGACCATATCCTTCTGAAGAATCCACTTTACCAACTTTTACACCTGATAAGGGAAGTTTTCCCTTAAAATATAAAATTTTAAAAATAATTATTAACAACTTTAATAGTGCTTATTTTAAACTGGATATACTTTCATTTATCAATTATTGTTTTTATTTAGTATAACTCATCACCATCTAAACTTGAGCTAAAACTGAAAATCACTGAAGCAGCAATTTTTTTGCAGGAGCCAGAACTTGGATTTAAATATTGAAAAATTATTATTAGTTCTGGTTCAAATTTCATTTATCTTTCTCTATAAATAATTGGGATTATCTTGAAAAAAGTAATTTTGATCTCAGACAAACTGTTTTATCAAAATTCCTCAATTCTGTAAGCTTGTGTTGTAATAATTTTTTATTACTAATATATAGTAATTAAGCAATCCAGAGAGATTTTCTTTTAAGATGAATAAATTTACGATCTTTATTGTTTTAATTTAATCAGATGATAATCCATTATATTGTTTTATATAAAATCTGTTAATATATTTCCAAACAAAGATATTATTCATATTTTTAATATAAAAATAATTATAAATGTATTTATTTTCAATTCAATTCAAACAATTTAAAAAAGATAATTACCTCATAGATAAAAGCACTCATTCTAGGACTAACAGATAAAATGACTAGTGTGTGTGTAAATAAAACAAGATAACGATCTTTTCTTTGTTGATCTTCTGTCACTGTTATAACAGGTCCCATGTGTAGAATTTCTCCCAACGTTTGAATATCCTATTGATAAAATTTAGCTTTAACTATATAATTATAAATATCAACTCATAAAAATCACTAAACTCACTTCTCCTTCCCAATCTCTAATGGTTCCTGTCATAATTTCAAGTTCCATTTCTTTCTGTCTTCGTGTAATTGAACAGGAAGACTGAAATTATAAGTAAATAAATGATTTTAAAATAAGAAGTGTATACCAAGCATGAGACTTTAAGTGAAACTTCATTGTGTTTCTCATTGTAAAGGTAGACTTTCATGCACCATCTCGAATGGTTTACTTCTTCAAATTTGAGCATGTTACTCTCAAGCTCTCTCTGCATTTGTTTTTGTGAAAATTTGCTTCCTGAAATTCCCTTTTATTGCCAGCCTATGGAATTGCTGACATTCATATTAGTTATGTATTATTTACACTACATAACATTTTCAGTAATATGTTCTTTTTAAAATATGCCAATGTATCAAAAAAGTGAAACAATCTTGCTATTATTTTAAAACTAAATTGAACTTAAGCCAGTAATATACACACACAAAATTAGCATAATTGCCAGCAGAAAAAGAAAACAACAAAATATTTTCTGAAATTTCAGCTGCAACTGATCAGAAAATTGAGTATAACAAGTTTCTACTTTTCACAAGCTAAAACCACCAATAAAAGTTTCTCACAATAACATTCATTTTAGTTAAATGGTACTAACTCAATTTAAAAAATAACTTTGTTAGTAAGTGAAAAAACAGATACATGTTTAAATCTAAATGTGATGTAAGATTTAAAAACTAATAAATAACTAAATCCGGTCTCTTCAGTTTAGTTGATTTCATACAAAAGTTCAAATCATGCTGAGAAATGTAAAAATGTCTCATCATCCTAACTCTACAGGAATAAAAAAATATGCTAAATATGGAAGTCATTGGAAGAAGTGTTTATTATTCTTCGAATAGTTAAATACAACACCTGCTTACCAGATGAAGTATTGGTATTTGAACAATTACATAATTTTACTAAATATAATTCGATAAAATCAATAATTTCCCCTTCGATAATTTACAATAAATTACAGGTTTTTTTTCTGAGTTTAAATGTTGCTAAATTTATTTTTATAGATGATTTGCAATTAACAATTCGACGGCAAGTCAGTTAAATTTCTTATTCTGTTAATGTAAAGGTTATTTAAATAAACATAGACTTTGTAAGAAAATAAACACGACTATTGTCTGAACCTTGAAGAGTTTTCTGGAAAGAAATGCTTGATTCTTTATGAGGCATTTCTTTGTCAATCTAATGACTCATTACAACACTGCACAATGCTTTAACTAACTGAAAACATGTACAGTACCTATATTATACTGTCCTCTTTGTGCTACTTCAATATAAACACGCATAAATCTTTAAAATTATAAACCAATATTACTAAATGTATAAACATTTAAATAATTTTNATCCTGTATATAGTGGGATTACGTCGATAAACTATTTGTAAGTTCTTATTTTTGGAAACCCTCTTGACAATCGGTTTAAGGAGGGGTATATAATCGAGGACCACTTTTTCTTTTTGGTGGTTTTGCTTTTGCCTACTTGCCAGATTATTATACTTCTTAATGAGAGCCTCTATTCTTTCGCTCCCGTAGCCATGCTGTATGGAATTATGCTGGATAGTTAAATGGTTTTTTATTTTTAAGCAGTATACTAATAAATAATTTCAAATAAGTACATTAACCTATTTAACTTTGTTGTTTGATATTAAGCTCTCATCCAGAATTAACAGTGTATTAGTATGTTGTTAGGCAAAATCATATATAATGTCTATCAATTTGCAATTGGCATTAATGAGTTCTTAATAGTCACCAGTTAGAACACATTCAAATTTAGATTAGATCAAAAGATGAGATGTTAAAAATCTTGAAAAAATGTTTTAGCTTGATAAAACTTAAATTGTGTATTCTTTGAATACATTGCAATTGAAACACAACACAAAAATCTCTAATATTATTTAACTAAACTATTTTCTAAAATTCATCATCCTGTAGGCAAAATATAAATATTTTTGTTAATTATTTATTAGATTGTCTTGTTTATAAATAGCATTGGATAAGATTCTAGCTCTGAATGATATGGGGAAATCATCAAGAATTGTTAACACTATACAAGATAGTGTTAACAATTCTACCTCCAAACTTTCAATTATACATTTCTGTTTCCATAAATAAGTTTTATTTCCACCAGCAAAGAAGTTTGCTTGCATTATTAAAATTTTTTATTCAATTATTTTATTAATTCAAGTTTAAAAAAATAATAATAAAAAGCATACAATTTTCAAACAACATATATAAATCACTCAAAGCTATTTTATTCTTAAATGAATAATCATTGGTAATGTTATCAAGGACATAATTAATTATGATAAAAATGCCTACAATAATTTTTTTATCATAATATTTAGTGTTTATTTAATTTTTATCTGTATTTTGCTTAAATTCAAATTTTTCAAACATATATAGGCTTAGATTATGTTGAATAGCAAACACATTTATTTATCTGGATTTTACTTAATATAAATTATGATTTGTGAAAACTGTCATTACTTACTCTGTTTACAGGAAAATTTTGATTTTTTTCTAAAATTATGTACAATACAAATATAATAGTTTTTAGTTATTCAAAGCTTCTACACATTTACTTTATTCACTTAAGTTTTGTTTACAGATAAAATTTAATTTTATTTGCATTTTTGCTTTTTGTTTTCATTGTAAATTTTATCTTTATATGTGTAAACAAACTTGCTTTATCTATAATTTCTAATATTTAACATTAAAAAACTTTATTTAGTTTTAATTTGCAATTTTAATAAACTATATACAGTATATACTAAGTAATCTTTATCTTTCAGTGATTCTAATATCAAATCACATAACACATGAAAAATTTTTTGTCAGAAGATTTAAATAAAATCCATCCAGGTAAATTTTATTTGGTTCTAATTCTGGAACAGGAACTGTTGAAACTGATCAAAGTGTGAAACTGTTCTAACAGAATGGTTCTTCAGAACTGCTTAGTCTGTTGGACTAGACCAGGCATGGCCAACATACGGCCCGTCTAATGAATTTATGTGGCCCGAGATCAATCTTTCAATATTACGTATTGAAGTCCGAATAGCTCAATGAAAACTTTTGACGCAAGTCAACAACTCACTGTGCATTTAGAGTTAACCCTCTATTACAAATCTCATAAGTACAGTGTAGAATGTTGATAAAGCATGATAAATGCATCTGTAATCTCTATCTACAATATAGTCTCTACGAGGTGACACCACAATGAGATCTCGCACCACCTCAAAATCTTCCTAGGGCAGCCTCTGGTTCGGCCTGTGGAAAAAAGTTTTCTTTCCAATTCGGCCCGGGGCAAAAACTGTTGGCCACCCCTGGACTAGACAGTTCCATGGAACCATTATGTTCTGTTGGAATTGCTGTTGGACTCAACAGTTGGACTCTGTTCCTCATTGGTTTTATATATATAGATAATAAAATGTTTCTGTCTCTTTCTCTCTCTGTTCTTAGCTTTTTTGTTGATCTTCTCCAAATTTTTCGTTTATTCTATGGGACTCTGAGAGAAATATAGACTACCATTAAACCTGAACATCCTACCCCTTCCCTGATTTCATCCTTCTTTATTAACTCTTAAACCCTTTGCTCAATCTGCATCAAATTTTTTTCACTTATTCTCTGGGACTCTGAGGAAAACAGACTATCATGAAATCTGAATGTACCACTTTTCTGATTTGATCTCCTTGACACTTCATGATAAACATAACAATGGCAGGCTAAAATAACCAAACTTGAAATATGGTTTTCATTTTAATGTTTAATGATTTTACTAACTGGCCAGGAAATGCTGGACATATCTGCTAGTAACTAATAAAAACAAATAATTACAAACTCTAATAAAACTATAAATTTTTAAAATATCTTTATAAATTTTAAATACTCAAAACTAACTTCATTATTCCTGAAAACTCATGGAACACTTTCATTTAGTTTTACGTTCAAATCCATATAGAGTTCACTCTTCCATGAAAAGCTATACACATAAAAGTACAAAATGAAGAATACATTGGTAGTTCCATAACTGGAACAGTCTCAATTGCTCAGTGTGGAACTGTTCCTAGTAGCTCTGAGTTTAAAATGGTTCCAACTGGGACTACCCACCTCTAACTCTGGAATGTTCGAAATTAGAATTGTTGGAAGTAGAAGGTACCTCTGCATATTTGTCCTTTATTGTATATATATTCAAATTTTGGAAAAATTTAGTGAAATTTGATTTCATTATTCTAGTTTTATTAAATTATGGATTACTTATTTACTGAGATATCTGTTAATGATGAAACAACTATTATAAATAATGGAAAACTAGAAGATTCAACATGACTAGAGTTTTGTCTATATTCTACAAAACTATTTATTATACCAAAAAATCTTGCAGTTGTTTTTCCTGTCAGATCTGATATTGAGCATATACAAATTTTGCATGGCAATGATTGTTGGATTTGCTCTTATTACAACACAAAACTTATTTGTGTATACGATTCTATAAATTATGGTAAAATATCTATAGAACAAAATAATTTTACAGAGATTGTATCCTCATATTAATATTGACATCTCTTTGAATTTTCCAAGAGTACAGCAATAACTGAACGAAGTCAACTGCAATGTATATGGAATTGCTTTTGTTGTCTCCTTAGCATTTGGTAACAAACCTGATTGTATTTATTTATGATCATACTAAATTATTTCTCATTTCTTGAAAATATTTAATTTGTCTAAATTAGAGCATTTTCCACAGATATCATTTAAAGATGTTCAAAAAATTAAATCCTTGTCACTTGCTCTGAATAATAATTTGAAATATATTTAAAGAATTATTTTGAAATTTATCTTTCCATTTATTTCACCAATGTGGAGAATCCATATGTGACGTTTTTCATCTCACAGCCTTCCATAGATACATTAGTTCACTCATCTACACTGTATTTAACTGTTTATAAAGCAGACAGAATGAAAAAACCCAGTGATACCCAAAAAGATACCTGTAATCCATACAGGTACAGAAACTGTCATCAAGCATGCATAGATCACTCATTTTCAAATTATTACCATTTTATTCTTAGATGTACATGAAACATATTTTAGTACAATTAAATATGAGACCTTCATTCAATAACTATGTTTCGCATTCATAATTATTTTGTTATGGAAAGTTTTGATATCGGGGATGTCAAGTAATCATTCTGACATTGAAAGATATAATTGTGGTGTAGAGAATTATTTCATTATATACAGTTTTAGTATCCCAATATCATTTAAAAAAACATTTAAGTTTTCAAAAACACTTTGGCAGTGCATTCTTTACCGATCAAAATTCCTTTAACTGTTGCTTTAAAGTGTATATAATCTGATCATAATTCCTTCAAAATGTATATAATGAAATAAATCTGTAATCACAAATCTGAGAAGTTTATGACAAACTTTTTATTGTTTATCTTGTGTGAAACATGTATTTTCCAGTGATATGTCTGTAAGATGGCTTTCTGTAACACTAAACAATATGGCACTTGCACACAGACAAGCATTCTACATTTTAAAAAATTGTTAAAAATACTGTAATTTTTCTTACTTTCTTTCAATAAGAATATGTACAGTATTGATATATTAAAGGCAGCCAATCAGAAAAATTCAATATTGTGTAAAAATGCAATTACTTATATGGTAAACAACACAATATAATGTGTGCTGCATTCACCAATACTAATAAATCTGAAGATGTCTATGTCAAAATAGAAGATTATATATTATAGAAGAGCATGCTTATAATTTTTCTGGTAACCAGTTCAAAATACATTTTCATATGTCACAATCTTCATTTGAAGTATGTAATCTGCATACAATTTATAATGGCAACCATCTTAACTTCTGTCTTCAGTACTTCTGAACCTTGCTGCACCAGTGCTGCAACAACTAACTTAAAGCAGAATTAGCTTAACTGTCTTTTAATAAAGTGATTTTAAGCAGGTTTACTAGAAAATGTGCCCAATATGTACAATAAAATAAAATAGATTTAATTGCTGTCTAAATAATCACAAGAAGAAATATCCAGAAAAGACAATAATCAGTATGTCTTTTGGTATGATTACATTATTATAGTTTAATACCATATTTTATTACCCTATTAGATAACTACAGTATATTAAGAGGAGCTATTTGGGGAATTGTTTAGTTTCATAAACAAATGTTAGTATTTATCTATGTAATATGAAGTGCTTTTATTTTTATTACACAAAAAATCAATGTTTCAATTTACTGCCCTCTATTGTGATAGAATGATTAATGAGGGATAACATTTTTTTTTTCAATTAAAATACAGAATGAACATAGTGGGAAAACAAACAATGCAGGAATGAAGAACATGAAAAAATTAGCATTATATATATGTGTCCTTATTTGGGACCAAGGTAATAAACCAATAGATGTGTGAAAATGATTGCTATGGAAATGATAGATCAAGTTTCACTGTAATATGTAAATGAGTGATCTACACATGCTTGATGGCAGTTTCTGTATCTGTAAGGTTTACAGGTATGTTTTTGGGAGTTATATACAGTAATACATCAGTTTTCAATGACTTTGGTTGTCATTGGTTTTGGTTTTCATAGATTTTTTCTACGAAAAATTTGTCTCGGTTTTCATCGGCCTGCCCACATGACTTTGCTGCTAATTTTGCAAAAACAAAACACAATCATGCATTTTCCTGCTCAGTGGGCATTGTTTCTCATTGCGTGAGCATTACCCCATGTGCCTAGCTAAACAATTTCATTGCTTTCCTTTCTTTTTAGCTCTATCATGGGACCAAAGTTTCCAGAGCCAACAGCCCTATATACTGTTGTCAACTTCACAACACTAGGACACTCTGTTTTTGCCAAATTTAAAAAGTTTGGTTATTTTTTGAACAGATCTTGTATTATTAAAGACTGGAGCTAGAGTTATATTTTACAGTTTTAATAGTTTTTTTTTATTTTTTCAAACACTATGGGGATATAAGTATGCCATGTTAATGTTTATTCTTTACATTAGTCTTTTATATTCATTTTATATTAATTTCTTGTTTTTAGTATTAAACACTACATTTATTTTCTATAAAATGTGTTTTTGGTATGTATTTTGGAGTGTCTAGAACAAATTAATTGGATTTACATTGATTCATATGAAAACAATTGCCTCAGTTTTCATTAATTTCGGATTTCGCTAATTGTTTTTTGGATGGATTATCAACAGAAACTGAGGTATCACTGTATTATGAAACACATACTATATACGAGATGTGTCCGGAAAGTAATTACCGTTTCATTCTACCACCACCGCAGCAATAGTATCACAGTTCAGCACTCATGCACACGTGTCTCTGGTTGACTGTCAGTCCAGTGACGCCATTACAGCCAGATTGTGTTGTTTTTCTATGTGTTAGTGAGCATTCAAAATGTTTAAGACGATTGCCGATCCCACCGACTGTGAAGTGCATTCTGTAATACGATTTTTGAACGAAAAGAATGTTAAGCCAGTTGAAATTCGTCAACTTGTAGAGATTTATGGTGAAAATGTAATGAGTGATGGAATGGTTAGAAAGTGGGTTTGACAATTCAATGCTGAACGCACTGATGTTCATGACGAAGCATTGTCATGCTTCGTCATGAACATCAGTGCTGGCCAGTGTTGTCAATGATGGTTTGGTTGCAAAAGTGAATGAGAAAATTCTTAAAAACAGACAATTCACAATAAGATTGCTTTGTGATGAGTTTCCACAATTTCAAAAACTGTTTTGCATGAGATTGTCACAAATCGCTTAAATTATCATAAATTATGTTCCCATTGGGCTCCCAAAATGCTTACGGATGTCCACAAAACAAAGCGACTTGAAAGTGCTTTGACATTTCTTACCCGATACAGTGAAGAGGGTAATGATTTCCTAAACAAAATTGTTACTGGTGATGAAACTTGGGTTTGTCATGTCACTCCAGAATCAAAACAACAGTCGATGGAGTGGAGGCACTCATGGTCCCCAACAAGACACAAATTCAAAGCAATGTTGTCGCACGAAAAATCATGTGCACTGTGTTCTGGGACAGACAGGGCATTCTGCTTGTTGAGTTCCTTCCCAGAGATGAAACCATCAATGCGGAATGATACTGTGAAACATTGTGAAAACTTCACCATGCAATTCAAAACAAAATGCATGGAAGTTTCAGTAAAGGCATTGTGTTGCTTCATGACAATGCACGTCCCCATACTGCTGGTGTCACTCAAAACCTTATTCAACAATTCGGTTGGGAGCAGTTTGATCACCCACCATACAGCTCCGACCTCGCACCTGCAGACTACCATTTGTTCTTGAACTTGAAGCGTGATTTTGGAGGGAGGTGCTTTGCCAGCAATGACCATGCAACAACCAATATTCAGCAGTGGCTGTCTTCACTGGCGACATCTTTCTTTGAAGAGGGTATAGTCAAGTTGGTTTCCCGATATGACAAATGTCTGAACAATGGTGGTAACTATGTAGAAAAATAGTTTCCAACATGCTCTTTCATGTAAAAATAAATTTTGTTTTGAAAAAAGATTTCTTATGTGAGTTTTTCCAAAATGGTACTTACTTTCTGGACATGCCTTGTAAAATTTATTAATACTTAATTTCAATATTGATCAAAAATCAAAATAACCAATGCTATTATTTTAAGTTACTATTATAGAACAAGAGATAATTCAAAATGAACAGGTTAACATTTTTATTCATTTCAACTATATTAATAAAAAATTATAATTAATAACCTTTATTGTATTCACATATTTGTACAATAGTTTAAAATAATAAATAAAAATATCCAAGTAAACTTACAGCTATCTCTCTATATACAAATATGGTTCTTTGAGTGTCTCCTCTGTCTATATGGCTTTCCTAAAGAAGAAATGAATGTAATTAATTTCTAAAATTAAATTTTAATAACTGTTCAAAATAACAAAAATTTAATTAATCAATAATTAATTAAAATTTGCTAGCTAATGTTGAACTTGAAATCACATTTTATGACTAGTCTTTACAGTTTAATTTCCAAAATAAACTACATTTGCAAATATAATAATTAAAATTAAAAATCTATAAAAAATTTAAATAGTTCATAAAAATGATTTTCATTTATTTTAAAATGGAAGCCAACATAAATTATTATTATTATATGAATCAAGAAACTTCAACCATCACATCAATACTAATCTTCAGAATTTAGTTCTTTAATATCTTGATAAAATTCAAATGAAATTCGAAGACCTACTTTTGAAAGATTTGCAATATAAATTATATTAATTAATTCAAAATTATAATTAATTCAAAATTACATTATTATAATTAAATAATGTAATTATATACTTTATTACAAAGTTTATAGCATTTCTGATTGATTTAAAGTTTGTAGCAATTATTTATTGTGACATCCTCACAATTCTGGGCTACAATTTTTAGTCATATTTCTTTTAAATATATGCTCCACCTCAAATTAGCAGTGACTTGCGCCTGTACATCATACTTTTCCTGTCAGATAAGACCGGCAGGACTCTATTACAAACTCCTTTCAGGGAGAAATTTTTGAATGAAGAAATGTGACTTCTGGTTTGCATTGGAAGTTTGTAAATAGTTAATTGGGGTCTCCTTCCTGTAAGCTTTCCGTATCTGGTCTCAGATTTCATTTAAATCCATTCTTGAGATTAAGGAAAGACAGAGGATGGACAGACAGATGACAGTGGGAATTTATAGATCTACAATTTTTTCAAATTGCAGCCCAATAAAATAATTTAATTTACTTTCATAATTAAAATTTAAAATATAGAAAGGTTTTGTATTTTTTAATTTATTTTCTTCTGAGTAATATTTAATAATAGAAGTTTATTTTTGTAATCAATCATTCAAACTACATAAAATATAGCAAATATTAAATTTTAAATAAATTAATAGTAATCTAAAACATAAGTATGTTTTATTTCAATATTAATATACTTCTGATTAAATATATTAAGAAAATTATCTTTTAGAAATGCACAAAAAATTGAAAATCTAATGTTATCAGCTTAGAAATAATCTACTTTCACTATAGTTAAATAAATATTAATTTACTTCTGTATATCTTTGTAATTCTTGCAAAAGAGCGGGATATTTTTCAATTCTTCGAAATGGCCGACTAAGACCAGTTGTTAAAACTAATATGCCAGGAGATGTAGCTCCTTTATCTTCCATGAATTTGTTCAAAGTTTCCCTACATACATTCATTAAATTATTTTATAGAAAAAACATTAATAAAATATCAGTCTTTTTCATTGTACATAAAAAAATATTTACCTATGTTTTTCAATGACTGATGCAGCTTTTGGATGATTTGAGCAATACAATAAATGAACTTTCTTTATTTGTGGAGCAAACTGCATAAAAACACCACCAATTTTTTGTTCTCTAGAAGGTCTCCTTAAATAATTTTATAAAATTTAATAATAAATTATATTTAATCAAGTAGAAAATTTTTAATTAACATGAAACTTAAAATCATCTTACTGTTCCACTTCTTCTAATGCAGTAAGAAACATCTTATGGCATTCTAATATTTCCTCTAAATTTCCACATAATGTCATGTATTCCTTGTCATTTAATCTAGAAAAGTAAGACATTACATTTGATAGTAAGACCTCATAAAAAACTTATGATATTAAATAAAATGTACTCAATAAATATACAGTAATAACCCAAACTTATGCTATAGGTGGGACCGAGCGATAACCACGTAAGTCGAATTCGCATAAGTCGGGGTATAATTTCGCAATTTGTGTAAAATCCAAGTCGGATGTATGTAAGCTAATAAATGTTCTCGTTAATCTTATCTCGTCTTTTGATTCGTTCACAATTACAAGAAATCGCCACATAGAGTCAAGTCTCCATAGATATAACAAACAGAAATAAATAACACAAAATAAATTGTAGCTATGTGTCGATTCCACACTACAAGACCGAATATGAAAGCTGAACAATAGTGTGGGGGGGGAGTGAGTAATCAAAAGTTGCATGGCACTCAAACAAAAGACAAATCGACGAGATTTGAAAATCGTGTAACTCCAGGTTCGCGTAAATCGGGGTAGCGTAAGTCGAGGTATTACTGTATTTACAATCAAAATACACAATTCTTTAAGGAAAAAAACTTAATTATATTGAAACAAAATTCTAAACTAAAAGAACTTAGATAATCTTACGTTTTTTCCTGATGAAGATTAGAAAGGTAAGTCTGAATCAAATTTTCAATTTCATGAACATGAGTTCCTTCTGTTCCTAAAATATCCTTAAAAACCTATTGATAAATATTTAAAAACATCAACATGTGAAGTTATTTTTCAAATATTTTAATAACACTATTAACATTTTATTTTGAAAATTTATGTTATATCAATTAAACATCTACTTTTAAAACAAATACAAATCTCAAATAGAGAATGTTGACTTATATTTTGGTCACACTTTAACTGAAGTCTAGACAAAACAGCATAAAGAAATCAAGCTCTAAATATTTCGTATAATTCAATTTAAATAAAAACCATACATCTATATTGCAATAATATAATTAAATGAATATATATTTTAGAAATTTAAGAAAACTCTTTTGCATTGTTTATAATAATATGGAATAAAATTAAAAATATCTCAAAACTGAGAAAAGTTTTCATAACATAAATTTACATAATTAACATATAATATAATAAACATAATTTCACATTTGTTATTTAATAATTCCATTTTATATTTCATTATAAAATTTATAAGTAATTTTGTTTCATGGATATAACATTTTATCTAAATATTTTCTAGTAATAGCATGACATATTGATCAGACTTCATAAGACAATAAAAAAAAACTATTAAAGGCATTACGATCATTGTCCTTATGTACTTTATGTACTTACAAATAATTTATTTAAGATTATACAATGCTCCCAAAAGCATCACACAATTTTCAATGTTGATTCTTTATATTATACTGTTATGGATAGCTTTAGTGATTGATGTTAAGAATATATAATCAGATTTAATAAAATGGAAACCAAGGTTTTTGATTAATATTGTGTATTAGTAATCTCAAAAATCACAATAATCAATTTATTTAGCAATACAACATGCCTAAAAATATTGCAATTTCTTTTTCAATAGCTATTTAGACATAGTAAGGAATTAAATTATCTTTTTGAATAGTCTTACACTTACAAATTGGTTTTCTTACAGATTAAATATTACTATTATTTAGATTTGTAACAATTATAGACTCAATTTATAATAATTAAAAAAATCCAATGAGAAATTTTTATTATATCATTATTAAAATTTAAAGCTTTTATTTTTTTTACATCTTGTAAATAGTTATATCATTTACAGATTTATACACGAAAATTTCTTATCGAAAATCTCTTATTGAAAATAATTTTACTTTCAATGTAGTATTTTCCACTATAATAATATAAATTCTCCTTCCAGAGCTTCACTTTATTGTTTTTGTAAATAACAATGTAAATTATTTATTAAATAACCATAAATATGTGGACACTTTATCTCAGATGGAATGAAGTATTTAGTTTTCCAGAAACATTCTGTAAAATGGCAAAATATTTAAATTATAAAGTTGAAATTTTTAAAAAATAAGTGCTTTTCATTTTTTTAATTCTTTTCTTACAACAAAATTGGTATAGTCATATACATTTTAGATATAAAAATGAAATTACAGATGTACTATACCATGTTGTTTCATTTGCTTTGTTTTTATCTATCATATCTGAGTACAGGTATCCCCCATATAAAATGGTAGTTAGGTTCTGAAAAAGTGCCATGTTATGCAAATACCTTCCATACAAAACAATGAACTAGCAGAAAACATAGGATTAGGTTACAAGAGTTAGCAAAAGTATACTATTCTTTTTTGCAATTAAGTAGTAAATATTATAATTATTAAATTTAATAAGAGATTGTGCCTAACTCCTACCTCTCATACTAAATTACCTAATAGTTAATCATTAATTATAGCACTTAATTAGCATGATTAATTATGGCAATTGTTTGGTTTATTACATGACATTATACTAAAGCTAATACCAACTCTAGTGAAACTTTGAGTAGTTTTGAATAATTTGAAACCCGGTAAAAAAAAAATACAAAAAGGCAAGAAAACTTAATTCTCAATAAAAAAATATTTTCAAGCATGACAATTCAATTACAAAACATCAAAAAAGTTATGTCAATTATTCATGGCAATATTTCTTGCTAACACTTGAAACTTAATTTTCAAATTTGTATTACATTGTGTAAATATATGGGAACTATTTAGCCATTATTGCTTCCATTTGGATCACAGTTAATTCTCCTCATATTCATAAACCTTGCAAGCATATACAGTCAGCACATTTGAAATTATATACTTTCATTGAAAGCTATAGTGCAGCTACATAAAAATAATTAAGGCCAATTTTGATTTAACTGGCATGAAGAACTATATTTTAATATTAAGTCCACAAATTCATAGATAACTTTAGTACCTTTAATGCTCTGGCCATGCATGATTTACGTTACTTTGGACTTATGACTTTAGTCCAGGTTGCTTAATTAATGTAACAAATTTTTGAATATCATCTTTCTGTGTTTGTTATTTATTTTCAAAATACTGTAAATTATCAATATAAAAGTATAAAAAACTTAAAATATTGATAAGTGAAACTAACATTTATTTATTTGATGGTAAGGAATTATTTAATTATAATTAATAATATCAAATTTAAAAAATTTCTATTTGTGGATAATTAAATAAATCTGCTACTATTCATAAATAAAAAATTGCAAAAGATCAATAATGCCCAAACTAAGATCTACTGTATAATTTACCCTCACTTGAAAAAAGATTTAAAAACTTAATCATAAATAATAGAAAAATGCATTGTTTATTTTAATCAGAAAAAAGATTTAACTTTTATAAATTACACAATTCCTGATATGCATAACCTGTTTCTAGTTATTTCAAATAAAAAAAAAAGAATGCCTCATAAACTGTGTATCATCATTGATTTGTATAATTCAGTTAAAATTTTATATATCTAACAAGAAAATTATCATGACAAAAATCTTATGTAAAAATGTAATTATCTATAATTAGTTCAGATTAAAATATAAATCTTATATTGCGCAAGTCAAAAGTTACATTTATTGTGTGTATACATTGTTAAAACATATATCTATTAGTCTTTTATTTTTATTATTATTATGTGGGTTTAGTGGGTTATACTCGGTTGATACCGGTGGCTAAATACTAGGCCAGACCAGAGTCAAGGCATAGCAACCAAAAACTAAAATTAAATAAGTGTGTCATTGTCTGTATTCAGGAATTTCCTAACAATATGGCATGTATTCAATATAGTGGCCTTTTGTAGTGTGATGTATGTATTTTTATTCAATTGTAATGTTCCCAGGCTTTTGTGTAGTGTGTATGGTATTTATTATTATTATTATTATTATAAAACTTTTATCTCTAGTTTTAATGTAACAGATAAACTTTTTTTCAAAAAATAAAAGGGTTAGAAATTATATTTGCTTATAATATAATTATTATTATGACTATCAGATTCTTATAATTTAATCTTCAAAGCAACAATAACTATATTTTAAAAAAGAAATGAAAAAAGTAATAAAATTACTGGGGTGTTATTTTGTAAAACCTGAAAATAAGTTTTTTAATTTTAAGTATTAATGACAAAGATTAAATGATAATAATGTGCAATTTCTAATTCAGAAGTTTTAGCTTATTGTAATTAATAAAAATTATTAAAAACATTAAGTTTTGAAAAAAAAAAAAAAA